TTGTAGTGATGAGGTAGGGTGTTCAGAAGGGGAACTCGTTGTAATCGAATAGCTACACCCGATTCACACCGCTGCTGTCAACTGCTGCCTGATAACAGCACGTGGGGACAGGGTCGAGTGGAGTGCTTATGTGTGCGGACTGGTTGAAGCACCGCCTCTTCTCGCAAAAGGTGACGTAGCCCGATGAGAGAAATGAGCAGAGAAGGCGGGAGCTCTTCGTGGACTGCAAGATTTCGACTGTTTGTCTACTATCCGGGCCAACCCCTGGTCCCATTCAATCACAGTTGAATCCGATCACTACATGGGGTATTACCTATTTTTGGCGAAAACCGGTTCTACTAATAGGCAGGTAGAAGTGCGTTGGGCAGTATACAGCACTCTGGTTTCAGGGCAATGCCTACAAGAGGGGATACTAGCTTCCACAGTTCTCCCAAGTATTCAGATAAGCAAGTAATTAAGGGTTGGGGGCAAGGGATCCGCCCGATCTCATAAAAACTCACATGCTGACCCTAGTGAAATCTAAGTTGGATGTATCATTTACAATTGATCAAATGGGCTCGAGTACTCGAGTCGATAAACGAGTTCCGCCTTAGTTTGCACTTTTGAGAAGTAAGTGATAAATCGAGCTGATAAGTCGAAATGCAAACATATATCAAGAAATAACCGCTATTAAGCCAAAAAAGCAATGTAAGAATCCGGAAGCAGTGGTACGATATCTTACTAAAGCTGGATTCGGCTGGCGTGGAGATTGGGTCGATAAAGTCAGGAAATACTCCACGACCTACTGGGACCTCAGACTCAACCACCACCGTGGTCCTTTTATTGACGCTATACGGTAATTCTATTCTTTTGATCTGGTGATAAGTGGTCCGTGTTACATACGAGATCTGCGACCAAATCTTGGATCGAGATCCGTACCAGCCAAATACCCTTTCAGACCTCCGAAATTGGACTGTCGGTGTTAAGAACTGGTGCACCTACTGGAACCTATCCAGCTTCAGCAAGTCAGTCTTCACGAACATTAGGCATTCAAGTACTGCTATCTCTAGTAAGAAGTCAAGCATGGAATGGGATGGCATTTGGGATGGGATTGACATGAATTTTATCATTTTGTCCCCGACGGCTTTGACTGTCTTAGAACTGTCTGCTTGATGAAGGATCCGAAGACCTTCTATCAGGGAGAGATAAGGGGCTTGAGCATAGTCTCTAGTAGGACTAGTCTCATATCCTGCCTTCTACAAGAATATCTGACAACGTGACTATAAACGCCAAACTGCTTCATTCTTCTGCACAACAACTGGGTCGATTCCCGAACGCCCACCACTACAGTTACTACGAATTAGCCTTCAAAATTAGTCACCGTTGTCTGTCCTGACAGTGCGTACTCGATGAGCTATTCATTGATCATTGACGTCAATGGCGGCGATTCATCAACGATGACCACAATTGACTCCTGTAGGCCAACAGTTCACTTCCGACAACAACATGTTGGTGAGTTATGTGCTTGCCGCTGGGAGTTCTCCTGCCTATCAGTTGTAAATACTGGTTATCACGACGGGTATTTGATCCCGTGATGCGTGGTGGCAACTTAGGCTTACTGCGACTAAAAATAACTGCTCACTGAATTCACGAGTTTGATGAATCG